GGGTCCTTATTTTACCCACCTCGGAAGCATAGAAGGCTGAATCAATCCTGAGCCGGTGAGATTTGAACAGCCGAACTGCAGAACTGCAGTCAGCTGAAGTAGCCTGCAGTGCTGCATTTAACCACTGAGCCACCTCGGCTCTTCTATATAAAGAAGTTTCTTCTATAAATGAATCCTGTGTATATAAGAGTTTGTTTGTCCTTGCATAATTGTTCTAGCTTCTGGCTTCTTGTCCAGAGGTGGTATTCAGCAGGTTCTGACCAGTTCTGGAGAACCGGTAAATACCACCTCTGACTGGCCCCGTCCCCATCTATTCTCTGCCTCCCGAGTCCCAGCTGATTGGGAGGGAATGGGGATTTTGCAGTAACCTTCCCCTGGAGTGGGGGAAGAAATGGAGATTTTACAGTATCCTTTCCCTGCCACGCCCACCAAGCACGCCCACCAAGCCACGCCCACCAAGCCACGCCCACCAAGCCAAGCCACAGAACTGGTAGTAAAATCAAATTGAATCCCACCACTTGTCTTGTCCTTGTACTTGCTACCACGTTGCAAGAGCTGGGTATTGTATACATACATCATGTTTTACATTATTGCATATAAAGAAGTTTCTTCTATAAATGAATCTCCTGCTGAATTATTTGCATGTGCGCCGGCTGGATAGCTACAAACTAACACATTTTCTATGTTCAGGTCACACATTTTTAAAACCTGCTTACAGAATTAGTCACATTTCTTCATTCCCACCCCATGCTGAACAATTAAGTGGGCTGGGTTTGTCCAGCATGCTGTGCTTAAAAAGGAAACAAAAACTGAATCAAAAATGTACAAAAGAATCACCACGACTCATTGCATTCAACGGCTGTCAACAACTCGGTTAAGCGAGCTAAAGTTATATCATAACTTTTTTAGCCTTTTTTACCTGGGTACTTTAAGAAATTGTAGTCTCCGTTCAAAGAGTTTGTTGATGAGATAGATATTTTCCTTCTCAATTTCATGGACAGCTTGTTCTAAACCATTCACTTCCTTTCGATAAGCTTCAACCTGCCATAAAATAGGAAACCTAATTCTGAAGTTCTAAGAAGTTACATGCATAACTTAACAAAGCCGTTCCCACATTTCTCTCTCTCCAAAATGAGTCACAATGCGGAATGCTTTGTTCAAGAATGAAGTTGAAGGTGGCTTGCTGAATGTAGAAAAAGCAGGAAGAAAGCAAGAAAAACAAGGGAAGGTTGTCTGAACTCTTGGCTGAATGCTCCAATACTAAAGGAGGAGGAAAACAAGGATGTGGGATGTCTCCGAGGAATGAATATTTGTCAAAAGAAGCCAAAACTGAATAAAACAACAAACATCTGCTCACCTTGTTATAGGGAAGTGAAAGTTAAATGCAGTGCGGATATATTACTTAAGAACTACATAAACAGTACAGTTTTTCCAATGCAGGTAATGTGGTCCTAACCAGGGATGAATGCTACCGGTTCGGGCCGGTTCACCAGAACCGGTAGTAAAAAAATGCTACCGTTCGCACCAACAGGTAGTAAAAAAATGCTTTAAAAAGAAATAAAAATTTCCGACGATCAGCTGTGCGAGAATCAGCTGTGCCTGATTGTCTGTGAGGCTCCTGCTTGTTGCAGGGGCCGTTTTGGGTGAAGTCCAGCCACTTTTACATTGTGAGTCAGTTGTGCAGCTTTTGTATTATGTTTGTGTAAAGTGTGATAGTTGGTTTTTGAGCTCTCTGTGACTCTGTGAGGTTCCTGCTTGTTGCAGGGGCCGTTTTGCGTGAAGTCCGGCTACTTTTACATTGTTTGTGTCAGTTGTGCAGCCACATCCACCCGGTCATATGACCACCAAGCATGCTTACCAGAGGTGGGTTCTGGGGTGGTACGGCTCAGTACGGGCGTACCGGTGGTAGCTGGGAGCAGCAGCCACCGTACCGGAACAGTGGCTCGTTGGGCCCACCCACCTGCCCGGGTTCCTTACTGCTTTTTGAGGGAGACCAAGCCAATTGTGCACGCACGCACAGCATACGCTGCCTGTGTAACCTCCGCCAAGCAGTTGTGGCGTTGCAGGGCAGTGGCATGCACATGCGCATGCGTACACAGTGCGCGTGCCTGAGGACGCCCAGCCCCGTTGCAGCATACAGGTTGCGATGGGATCCAGAACCCGCCACTGATGCCTACCTGGTCACATGACCACCAAACCACGCCCACCTGGTCATATGACCACCAATATGGCAGAGCCAATTGACCAACTAAGACAAGTTGGATCATTTCAAAAATGAAGGGATGGAAACAGTGGTGGGTTTCAAAAAAATTTAGAACCTCTTCTGTAGGTGTGGCCTGCTTTGTGAGAGTGGCTTGCCGGCCATGTGACTGGATGGGAGTGGCTTGCCAGCCATGTGACTGAGTGGGAGTGGCTTGGTAGTCATGTGACTGGGTGGGCATGGCCCACCTGGTCACGTTACCGCCAAGCCAGGCCCACAGAACCGGTCGGGAAAATTTTTGCATTTTACCACTGGTCCTAACCCATATTTTTCAGTGCCGTTTTAACTTTGAGTTGTCAGTAATTTAGCAGTTAGCAATAGCAATAGCAATAGCAGTTAGACTTATATACCGCTTCATAGGGCTTTCAGCCCTCTCTAAGTGGTTTACAGAGTCATCATATTGCCCCCACAATGATTTATAGTCCTGTTTA